GTATTTCACATCTTTGTACTAACAAAAGGACGAGGTATTTTTATTCAGCTAAGCCTATAAAACACAACCAAGCTCATAAACATAAATTGTTTTAACTAGCCACTTCAGAGAGCCCATGATCCAGTGACACGCTACTATTAAAAAACCTAGCTATATTTTTACAACCGTATTTAATTTTTAAACAAGCTTCTGTTTAATTGCTTAAAAAAATTGAACGTACTCCCAAAAGAAAAGCAGTAGTACCAGGAACATCCTTTTTTTTTTTTTTTTTTTTTTTTAATACAAATTGGGAATGCACTTATAAAAGATATTTCTTTACAAGCAAGACTTCAGTCTCCCAGCCCTGAACCTGGTGTTTCAAGTTCAGCTGCAGAGCCAAGTGCACGTGGCCTCTAAGAACAGACGATCTCACAAGTGTTGGACGGAGTCAAGTAATCCCTGCTCTTCAGGGGGAAGCTTAAGCTCGAATTTCTTGCTTTGCTCCCTCATTACCAAACTCGATGTACCATTAAAAGCACTATCCTAGAGAGAAATAATCCAAAACGATTAGATCAAAATAACCTGCCAATTAACCATGACACAATTACACCTCTCAAATGAGAGCAAAGTCCTCAGAAGACACTGGGATCTAAATGCTGTACTTTCTCTGACTGAAGTTCCCCCAGCCGCTCCGCGGCACAGCGCTCAATTTTAGCTTCATGGTTTCATAAACTCTTGTTAAACACAGAGCTGAACCCACGCTACCAATGATTAAAAAACCTATTCTTAGCAGCAAAGGGCTGCTGGGCACCCAGTAGGTACCTCGGCCAGTACAAAGTGACTGGTGCTGGGCATCAGGCAGATACCGCAGAAAAAAGCTAAGACCTTTGCTTGAGGACAACAATATGGAGGGAATTAATTTTAACAAACATAACTCAGTTGCCAAAAAAATTTAACGTTTCTTGCCATTTTGACTTTTTTTTTCTCATTTTTGAAGGCAAATTGTGCAATTACTGAAATACAAAGTGAACAAGCGAGCAAGCTTTGTGGTGGTGTTAGTGACTAACAAGCCACACAGAAGATGACAAGGCTGGACCTGCTGATAGCTACGTTAAACCAATTTCTTATGTTTTCATGCAAGGAGAGATTACCACATATATGCTTTTCTTTGCATCTGCATGCAGTATTTTGTTACTTATTTTTAAACCCTTCCTATGATCTCGGGAGACTGCACCAACCCTAGAACTCTAAAATTATTTTTTGACTGTTCTGTATAACTTAAAACTCTGTATTTGACACAAAACACACATAAGTTCCACTGCTCAAACAAGCTGCCCTGTACAATGGGGGTATAAGCAAGGAAAAAAATAAATAAATCAGTAAGCAAACTTGTACTCAGAGCTTTTGAGTCGTGTTCACGACTGGGACAGGACAGAAATGCAGTAGGAAGAACCCAGCTGCACTCTGCTCCTAAATAAAAGCATGAAGTCCACACACGTCCCACCCAGTTCAACCCTGAACATGATGAAACATCTTTCCCGGGAAATGGGGATGGCTAAAGTGATCTCTGGGAAACACAGCACATGGAAAAATCATCCCCTAATCTCACAGACAGCTCTGGAGTTGAACACTGTGACAAACCAGCTGAAAAGTGACATAGGAAAACTCCATACTTTCTCCTTCATTCTCAGTAAAACTGCAGCATTAATGTTGCAAGAGAAAGTTGGCTACACTGTGTGATAGCTGCTGAAGCACTAATGAATTAAAAAAAAAAGGATTCAGAGGTTTGGTTTATCTAGAAAATGGATTTTGCATTTAAACAGAGCATCATGTTGTCCATAAAGCATTCAAAGAATGTGGTTCCCAAACCACACACTGGGAATAGAAAAACTTCATGGATAGACCAGAACTGAGTCTGGATCAGACAGGATTCTGTAAATTTACTAAAAAGCGAAACCTATTGACCTGCCACCCACAAACTAACTTTTTGTCAATGCAAAATACATCCTGGAAATCTGAATTCCTACAGCCCATGGGCCAGTGCCAGTTACAGCAACAATGACATCACGGTTTTCCACAGAACTCCCAGCATCTCCACAGGACAGACTAGATGTGACCACACACCCCTACCATGATAAATCCTTTGACAAGGCTTTTCCCCACTGCCAAGAACAGGGAAAAAAAAAAAAGAACAAAACCCCAAACTGAACTATATTCTTCATGCAGAGGAGGATGTGCAATCCTCAAAATATTTCTAAAGCCCGCAAAGCCCAGCTGTTTGTATTAACAGAAAGAACCCCAATGGACTAATTTCCCTCTCGCTGTTGTTACACAAGAAGTGTTCTTTATGGCTCTGGAAAAGGAACTGGAAATGGAAGCAACCTTTTAGCAAGTGACTTAAAGCAGCCCGGTATAAACACACATATCTGTACAACAAAATCAATCTCTTCCCAGTTTCCAATAGCCTTGTTAATATGTCAACACTGATTTTAAGGAGCATACATGTGATTTACCAAGTTATTCTACTACTCAGGAGCCATACAGAGGCAGAATGAAGTCACTGGCCAGACCCAGGAACTGCAAGGAAGAAATTCAGACACAACCCCTTTCTCAACTGAGTGTGAAATTCCCACAGGGGCAGTCTACTGCATTTTACACACTAGCTAGAGAGTAAAGCTAAAGCTTTTATGTTCTAGTTTCCCTTCCCACAGCAGAAAGGGAACTGGACTCCCTTCCACCATTAAATCCTTACCTCAAGACCTTCAGTCTGTGGAGGGGGAAGTCTGTTACACTACTTTCTTCCAAGTTTCCCAAAACTCTTACTTTACAATAAGTAATGGAAGAACCAATAAAATACCTGCCAATTTCACTGCTGGTTTCGAAAAACCACAATAAAATTAAGTCTGGTAAACTTTGACTTGGTGATAGCATCAAGAAGTATCTCAGAGGAGTTACTCGTATAGAATTTCTCATCTGTGCTACCACCAGCTGTGCTAGTGGCAGCAACATCAGAAATAGTGTTGTAAATACCCGTTCTATTCACATTTATTCAGCAGCTGCTGAGAATGATCACTGAAAAAAAGGCATAAATTAAAAAAAAAAAAAAAAAAGATATATCTGTAAGTTGACAGCCTGCCTATCGGTAGCAACAGCCACTTCTTCCACCTTGCTGAGGAACCCTCTGGTCTGGTCTGGCCTTGCCCCGGGCACCGGGAAGGCGTGACCGGGGTCTGCATGGTGCTGTCAGTGGCCACGCCGCTGCCCCCCACGGGCCCTCTGCCCACACCGGGGCCCGGAGAACCCGACCCCGACTTTCCCCCCGCTCCCCCACCCTCGCCTCTCCCCGGGGCGGGCAGATCTCCCGGAAGGGAGATTTTTCTGGCCGGTTCTCTCCCCCCGGGCCCGGGCAGAGGCCTGACCCCTCCCGCCCGCCCCCTCACC